ATAAATCCCATGCAGCCTTGTTTACAAGTTCGAACACTGGAATGTGAGATGTAATCTAAACCTCAATTAGGCTGATAGAAATCCTCATTATTTAGTTTAATGATTTTCAATTTGAGCGTCATTATTTCTATATAGCCTACACTTTCTCATTCTAAACTTCTAACGTGGGACAGGTGTGGCTTCGTGACACTAGCTATGTTTCCATTAATATGTCCAGTGATTTTTTTGCCAACATTTAGAAAGTTTGCCTAGAAAATAGATGCGACAATTGCCTCCTAGGGTGAGTTTCCATCTTGTGTCGATAAAAACAGCTGGATGTAATCGTTGAAGTGTTTCCATTACCCATTTAGGCAAATTGCACATTAAAATATTGGCGAAAGCCTGTATGCCCTCCCACCTCTGTTTCATGTCTCAGGTAGCCCGTGAAAGCCAGCATTGTTAGAATGCAATAATGACAAATATTTGCCATATTCGAATCATTCTCATGTGCAAATGTATCGCCACGGTCAGTGCCATGGCGAAACTTGCACTCCTATAGATCTGACATAATTGGATGGTGAAACTTGCCAGCCAACCAGAAAAGCAAGCCGAAGCAATTCAGGCATTCTTGAAAGTCAGTAGAATCCTTGTCCTGCAAAGAGTCCTGTGGAGTGAAGCTTATAGTTAGGCCTATGTGATTACATCACGTGACCCGCATACCTTCAACAGTATTCGGCAATCATAATTTACTCGAAAAACACTGTTTCCATCATAATTTGTCCCAATAAATAAAATCCACCCCTGTTGAATGGATAAAATGCTGATCTTTAGAAAATGTCTGGTCGTCATTAGTTACAACATCCACAAAGTCATAAACACCGCCTATTTCTACAATTTATCTTCTTAAAATTGTATTTTAAACCTAACCCTAACCTTAACCACATGGCTAACCTTATGCCTAACCCTAACCTTAAATTAAGACAAAAAAGCACATTTTGTTTTCATTAATATGTATGATATAGACAATTTTGACTTTGTGGCTGTGGTAACTGCGACGTTGCTTTTGTCTAATAAACCTGGGTCAATGGAAGCCTGCCTAATGATTACGAGAGCAGCTGCTCACGGATTTGACAGCTCCAAATGTAGTTACACCCAGGGTTGCCAGATCTAGCTCAAATTTCCAGTTCAATGAACACACAAGAGGCCTAAAAACTAGGCCAACAATATTTTTTTAGCATCAAGAGAGGTGCTGCCACATTTCTCCAAAAGGTGTCTCCATTCATTGTTCTCACGTAACTTGTCATGACGTGCGTGCAAGCTGCTCTCCTCTAACTGACGTGACTCAGCTGCCGGGCCACCTGCATCGCTCTCTCAACACACTCACAACCCTCTGCCTCCCCCCCTTCCCTCCTCCCTCCATCCATTCCTCCCCACCACTTACTCATTCACTCACTCAGCAACAGCCTGCCTCACCGCCTGATAGTCAGCAGCAGCAGGTCACAGAGACATTATTATTATTATTATTTTGAAAGAGAAATGCCATTAGCAATTTAGAAGTAGCCCAAAAACCTGTAAACCGTGACCAATATATTTTAAAAGTCGCCCAATTTGTTGGGAAAATGTTTTTAAGTTAATTTCCTGCAATTCTACACGTTTTGCCATGAGGAGTAAAGAAAATGTTGCAATTTTATAACATATTTCATGCAGTTCTACTCATTTTGCCATGGGGCAGAGATACTTTTTTGTTGTTTTACAGCTAATTACCTGCAATTCTAAAAATGTTGCCATGATTTATGAAAAAATTGTTAGCTGACATGGCTAATTGAGTGACTGTCAGTTGACTGCCAGTGGCTGACATAACAAGAGAAAAACTGCTGATGCACAAACACATTTCGAAATTGCACCTTGCGTATTCTACTACTGAGTTCCTAAAAACATGTCGCGACTCACCATAAACATGACCCCACTTTGGGTCGCCACCCATACTTTAAGAAATGGTGATATACAGTTTCTTTCTGAACGTTCCGAGAGCGTCACTTTCTCCTCAATAGCCATTGCTAGAGGATAATTGACACTGCATTGTGCTGTTTATTTCTGATAGCTTTCAAAACCTATGAAGATGCATGTTCAGTGAACGCAGATATGCAATTTGTTGAAAACACAGTACAGACTTGGATACATATTATACCGAATGCTAATCAATACATTTGCTGCTCTGTTTTGCTGGTTTACAGCGGGTCATTACATAGCGAATTGTCGGAGGCACACATTTTGAGAATAAAGGCGCTAACATGGCAGCTATTCTAAAACCTGGCCGAACTCACTATACTTTCTATACCCTTGACTTTTTCCACATTTTGTTACGTTACAGCCTTATTCTAAAATGGATTAAAAATATATAACCTCATGAATCTACACACAATACCCCGTAATGACAAAGTGAAAACAGGTTTTTAGAATTTTTGCAAATAAAAATAAATAAAATAACAGAAATACCTTATTTATTTACATAAGTGTTCAGACCCTTTGCTACAAGACTCGAAATTGAGCTCAGGTGCATCCTGTTTCCATTGATCATCCTTGAGATGTTTCTACAACTTGATTGGAGTCCACCTGTGGCAAATTCAATTGATTGGACATGATTTGGAAAGGCACACACCTGTCTATATAAGGTCCCACAGCTGACAGTGCATGACAGAGCAAAAACCAAGCCATGAGGTCAAAGGAATTGTCCGTAGAGGTCCGAGACAGGATTGTGTCGAGGCACAGATCTGGGGAAAGGTACCAAAAACATGTCTGCAGCATTGAAGGTCCCCAAGAACACAGTGGCCTCCATCATTCTTAAATGGAAGAAGTGTGGAACCACCAAGACTCTTCCTACAGCTGGCCGCCCGGCCAAACTGAGCAATCGGGGGAGAAGGGCCTTGGTCAGGGAGGTGACCAAGAACCCGATGGTCACTGATAGAGCTCTAGATTTCCTCGGTGGAGATGGGAGAACCTTCCAGAAGGACAACCATCTCTGCAGCACTACACCCTTTATGGTATAGTGGCCAGACGGAAGCCGCTCCTCAGTAAAAGGCACATGACAGCCCACTTGGAGTTTGCCAAAAGGCACCTAAAGACTCTCAGGCCATGTGAAACAAGATTCTCTGGTCTGATGAAACCAAGATTGAATTATTTGGCCTGAATGCCAAGTGTCACGTCTGGAGGGAACCTGGCACCATCCTTACGGTGAAGCATGGTGGTGGCAGCATCATGCTGTGGGGATGTTTTTCAGCGACAGGGACTGGGAGACTAGTTAGGATCGAGGGAAAGATGAACGGCCAAGGTACAGAGAGATCCTTGATGAAAACCTGCTCCAGAGCGCTCAGGATCTTAGACTGGGGGTGAAGGTTCACCTTCCAACAGGACAACGACCCTTAGCACACAGTCAAGACAACGCAGGAGTGGCTTGTGGACAAGTTTCTGAATGTCCTTGAGTGGCACAGCCAGAGGCCGGACTTGAACCCAATCGAACATCTCTGGAGACGCCTGGAAATAGCTGTGCAGCGATGCACCCCATCCAACCTGACAGAGCTTGAGAGGATCTGCAGAGAAGAATGGGAGAAACACCCCAAATACATGTGTGCCAAGCTTGTAGCGTCATACCCAAGAAGACTTGAGGCTGTAATTGCTTCCAACGGTGCTTCAATAAAGTACTGAGTAACGGGTCTGAATACTTATGTAAATGTAATATTTCAGCTTTTTGTTTTTTATAAATTTGCAAAAATGTATAAAACCTGTTTTTGTTTCGTCATTATGGGGTATTGTGTGTAGATTGCTGAGGAAAAAAATACAATTTAATCAATTTTAGAATAAGGCTGTAACGTAACAACATTTGGAAAAAGTCAAGGGGTCTGAATACTTTCCGAATGCACTGTAATCTTCTAAAATAAAGGGACATTAACGTATCCCAACATTATAATAACCCTTTAACCTTTACTCAGTTTAGACTAAAATTTGACTGGTTCCACTCTATGTTGGCAACAGCCACTGATCTGCAATCTTAGAACCCCCACAGCCCAATTCGGTTCTGTGTGTTTGCACAGCTTGCTGATCAACATGTCCATGTGGTCCTCTGTAGCTCAGCTGGTAGAGCACGGCGCTTGTAACGCCAAGGTAGTGGGTTCGATCCCCGGGACCACCCATACACAAAAAATGTATGCACGCATGACTGTAAGTCGCTTTGGATAAAAGCGTCTGCTAAATGGCATATTATTATATTATTATGTCTATTATGACCTGAGAGCAGGGCAGGCTCTAGCCTTATGGGGAACCTAAGCGAGATTTAGTTGGGGGACCCCCCCACCAAGTGGCCAAATCTTTTAGTGGCCCCCTCATTGACAGAGAGAAAAATTGTATTATCCTTCAATTCTACAAAATGTACCATGATGCATAGAGAAAATGATGCAGTTTTAAATCAAGTTTTCATGGGGCGGAGAGAAAATGTAGCAATGTTATAACACATGTCATGCAATTCTAGTAATTTTGCCATTGGGCAAAGAGATATTTTTGCAGCTTTAAAGCTGATTTCCTGCAATTCTACCCATTTTTTCCATGGGGTGGAGAGAGTTTTTAGCAGGTTTAAAGAGAATTTCCAGCAATTCTACACATTTTGCCATGACTTATGCCATGTTAATGATATCTGAGTGAGAGTGACTAATACAATCAATGGGGGCCCCCTGAAGGTCAGGGCCCCTGGGCACGTGCCCTGCATGTCCGGTCGGTATTCAACCATGATTGCTACAAGTTTATATAACTGGCTAGACTAATTTACCAATCTAAAAGTTGCTAGCTGACATAGCTAATTGGGTGACTGTCAGTGACTGACAAAACAAGAGAAAAATGGATGATGCACAACCAAATTTCAAACGTGCACCTTCTGTATTCTACTCTTCTAACTCTCAACAGGAAGTTTTTTTTATTTTGGGGTCGGGTGCCACCTAGCAGCCGGGGGCCCTAAGCGACCGCTTATGTCGCTTATGCCTGGAGCCGGCCCTGCCTCAGAGCAGCTCAAACTGCCAGGACCACTCCTGGATCAGAATGTAAATGGATGCAGCTTGCCTCCTAGGCTGTGGACATGCCCCATGGGAGGGATCCCTAAAGTAAATAAAAAGTAAATGTGGCCTTTATGCTCCCTGTGAGCTGAACTCCATGCTCCCTGGCTACCTGCTCTGTGGTAGTGTCAGGGAGGCTACAGTACCTGTAGGTTGGAGTTGAGAGCAGCTAGACTTTAAATTCCCTCACTAACTATAATCTAACTCTGGTGATAGGCCTGGAACTAGGCTAAACCTCAGTTGTTATGCATTGTAATGTGATGCCCTACATGATCGATAGGAAGGATTAAAGGGTAAAAAGCAAGCAGTGGTTAATGTGGGAATGCACAAATAGACAGAGGTGAGAAACAAAACTGTGAGAGTAACTGTGAAAAATGAAAAAGTAAACCTAATCTAATCTAAATTCATGTGTTAATTACTGTGATGTTTTTGTAAGCATCTACTAATGCAGCACTCTGCTAGGTCTTTGTCTTACACAATTAGAATTTTTATCTCATTATCTCAAATACAGATAGCAGGTACTCACACATATCCCTTGTCCTTGAGTGTGTGTGTGTGTGTGTGTGTGTGTGTGTGTGTGTGTGTGTGTGTGTGTGTGTGTGAGAGAGAGCAAGAGTGTGTGTGTGTGTGTGTGTGTGTGTGTGTGTGTGTGTGTGTGTGTGTGTGTGTGTGTGTGTGTGTGTGTGTGTCTGTGTGCGTGCGTGCGTGCGGGTGTGAACATGTTAATGTGGTGAAGAGCAGGCAGAGAATGCTAGTTGAGATTGATACATATTCCAGTGGGTGAGCTCTCATCATGTCACAGGGCTGACAGTGAGAGGGTGTTATTGGTATGGAGAGGCAGCTCATATTCCACAGGAGAGTCAACTCTCACCCCTCCTTCACAACAATGAACAGAACATCCTCTCAGCTTTATTTCTGTATGCCCAGGTACTAGCACATTGATAGAGATTGTTTTACATTTTAATAGCTTGCTAAATTCATCCAGGTTTGGAAAGGTTTGGGAGGTGAAGGAGAGGTTTAGAGCTGGTTGGTCCAATGGATCTAACTGCTAATGCAGGCTAATAGATAGAGAACACTTGAATAAAAGTTGACCACTTTAGGAAGCTCAACAACCACTCTACCTTAACCTCAACACTGTATTCTATCCATATAATTTACTGTCCCCCATAGAACTCAACATATCTGGGATACATACATCACCCAGTGGAGGCTGCTGATGGTAGGACGGCTAATAATAATGGCTGGAATGGAGTCAATGGAATGGTATCAAACACATCAAACATGTGGTTTCCATGTGGTTGATGCCATTCCAATGACTCCATTCCAGCCATTATTAAGAGCCGTCGTCCCCTCAGCAGCCTCCACTGACATCACCAATATTATACACTGAGTACACAATAAATTAAAAACACCTGCTCTTTCCATGACATAGATTGACCAGGTGAACGCTATGATCTCTTATTGATGTCACTTGTTAAATCCACTTCAATCAGTTTAGATGAAGGGGAGGAGACAGATTAAAGAAGGATTTTTGTGCAACTTAATATTAGGAAGGTGTCCCTAATGTTTGGTATACTCAGTGTATATTAACTTCTATAATGATCACCAGCATACCTTTATGAAGACAAATTAGAAGATTGTGGAAGTTAACTTCAGAAGCACTGAGACCCAGTCAGACAGCGATCACAGACAGACAACCATTCAGAGAGACACATTCATCCCTCTATTGTCATCGTCCCAGCATGAAGAAAATGTGGCTTCTGCATCTACAGTACAGAACCCAGAATGATGCCACTTAACTGAAAACACCTCCTCAGATTTGACTTGGTATCTGAAAAGAAAAATAGGAAGGGAAGGCAGAAATCAATAAACACCATCTAAGCCTGAGGGGTCCCCCAATTTCCTCCAAACCACTCTACCCCCTGGGCAGAGTGGGAAACAATGGCGGGGCATCAATACCTGCAATTGGGGGAATATAGGTGGGGTGGGAGACAGCAGGGCACACAGCACAAATGGGTCACCTCTCCTCCAGACACTAAATGGGCCCCAATCGTTTGCATCAATTCAATCCGGTGGGAGACTGAGGACAGGTTGGGGTATGGGAGCCATTAAGACTGCATGGGAATAAAAGGGAGTAACAGGGGAGGGAAAGGGGTGTGGATGTTTGAGGTCAGTAGAGATAGGGACACAGGGTGGTATAGGTGTTTTCAATTACCGGCAAATTCAGAGCAATTTCCTACTCTTTCCGCCAAGCCCTCCCTCTGTGAGGGTGATTGGAGGCTCACACAATAGAGGCGGGAAGATCAGCATCAGTTGTGTGGTTGTTTGAGTGGGGGTGGGTGGAGAAAGATATAGAGGGGGTGTGTTTTCATTTGTGTGTCTCATTTTACCTTTCTCAGTCACCTTGCAGCTTTATATTGAGCAGAGTGTTTTTATAGAAAAGGTCAAAAACTTCCAATTGTTTCAAGTTCTTTGTAAATGTTGATAAGAAACTTCCTGAACACTGATATACATACTTATGGATTTAAAGATAACATACAGACAGGATGGGTGAAGCATGTTGTTTGAATTAACAGAGCAAAAACGGTTTGTGTTTCTGCTTTCTCTATTCATTACAATGTGTAAAGCCTGCAGACTTCACAAGAAGAAAGCTTCCATCTAAAGCCTCCAATAGACTCTTTGTTCATTTTCACCACTGGTCAAAACTATGTTACCGTATCCCGGTTCCTTTCTTTCTTTGTTACTGTCTTTTCAGGGAGGCTCTTTGCAGTGGATGACATGTTGATGTTCTTACATTGACAATGGAAGTCATGTGAAGCTCTACAGCCTTTCAGGTTCTAGCAAAGGGCCTGAAGGCGCCCAGAGAAGCAACATGCGATTAAGCAGTCAAATTATAGTATTCCACGATTCTGGTCTCAGACCAATTTACCCAGGGGGGGGGGGGGGGGGGGTGGGGGGGGCAAAACTAGCAGGGTGTTTCCACAATATCCTGTGTTTCTTTTTGAAAAGGAAGAGACCGTTTTTACACTCAATCAGGTGTAAGATGTACTGTATGAGAAAGACAAAACAGAAATCATCCTTGTTTCACCAAGCACAAAGGAACTACAGTAAGTAACATGCTCACATACTCTCAACTACTTCAGCTCTCGACTAAAGCGGGTGTTGGAAAGCAGTTCTCTTGTAATCAGCTTGTCAGATGAAACTGTCAGAGGGGATTTTGTTTCATCTGGTTAAACACTTTACTTTCCCTGTCTGCGACTGATCCAACTTCAAAGGGCCCCGTAGCCTACAGTAAAACTCTAGACAGGAAGTTCCCCCCTGCAGATGCTGCCACATGAACATATGAGAGCCCTGATAGCGGGTACTATCAACGATATCACTTCCCCTGCACCCTGACTCTATGAGGAGGGGGTAGCCATGTTACACACTCACTGTAATGTTATAACATTTTCTCATTTTGATATTCAAAAAAATATGTTGTACCCGCAATTCAGCTCTCTCTCTCTCTCTCTCTCTCTCTCTCTCTCTCTCTCTCTCTCTCTCTCTCTCTCTCTCTCTCTCTCTCTCTCTCTCTCTCTCTCTCTCTCTCGCGTGCGCACATCTATCTATTGGGGGTTCTTGTGGTTTTCCAAATCTACTTCTGCATGCACATTCCCAATGTATGTACCAGATGGGCAAACACACAGAGCTGCTACTGGTGCCACTTGAGCATGTCTTTGTCGTAGATTATGAATCACTGGAGTAGACAGTAGTAAATGTCATGTCGAGTGCATTTGATTGGTCTCCAAGTGCTCCATCAGATGAAAGTGTAAATAGATAGTTAACACTCACAGACCAGTGTAGATCCACACACGAACATTTAATGAGTGTGTCATTAAACCATACACTGTAGCAATAAGAACACCCTGCTATTCCTCTCTTTAAAACAACAGACAATCACTTGACTGCAATATGCATAATCACTAGAGATGTCTAGAAACCCAAATTGCTTGACAATGTGTCAAAGATAAATGTTTGTTTCCATATTGCTGGTGCCTAGGCCATACTGTATACAGGTTGTGTAGACAGAGCTGCAGGGCACGGAGTACAAAGGAAACTATTTCCTGGTCTCTGTTATTTCAATCATAAATAACAAATCTACAGTATTGCAAAACCATAATTTACAGTAAAAAAAAAAAATACTGATTGCAACTCACAAGCATAAGATATGTTCAGTGACACACCACTGTACCCTAGTGGAAGTCCCAGTGCTTGCATGTGAATATTGCCTTGCTCTTCACTGGGCAGCATTGTTCCCATCTCCCTAGGTGGAGGAATGGATGGGTAGATTGGCAGACTCCCATTGGAGGAAAACAATGGTCAATAGTGGAAAGCCTTCAGCAGCACCAAACTCCTAAAGCCTATGCCTCCTCACCACATTCCCCTGACTAGCATCACACAGATTACTGACAGACTGGAAGAAGCACATTCTACACTATGTCTGTATGTGAAAGAGTGGGATTGTGCATGTATGTTTATTGTAATACTGTGTGAGTGTATTTGCATGTGTGTGTGTGTGTGTGTGCGTATGTTGCAAAGATTGATCACAGATTGATCACAGATCTCTAAATTAAAATAGCACAATCAAACATAAATGACAAGCTTCCAGGATACATATTGCAGAGCTAAAACAATATAACTGTACGTCTTTGTAAAGCAGCACAACATCACAGTATGATCTCTGATTTTGATGATGGCAGAATCCCAAAATAAGCATATCTGAATGGTTTTCAAAGGCAATAGCTCAGTGAAAGATGAAACCTATCAACTAATTATTGTAATTTATTTTGGCTTGCCTCTTCTGTCTGTCTTCACTGGTCTACAGGATCTCACAGACTGTTAACGCTAACCTGTTTCTACACTGAGCCACATACTCTCTATGATCTATATTTAACTTGGCTTGTGTTGGAACGGGGCTGTATGTCAGAGGATTGTGCATATGAGGCAGGAGTTCAGTGTCAGTTTCCAACAAGGCCTCTGAATTTAGCCTGGGTAAAGGCAGCAGCGAACGGAGCGGGTAGTGACTCCTATTGAACTACAGACTGCTCTGGTCCCGCTGTTGTTCCGTCACCTGCTCTTCTTTTTCCTTTTTTTTGTTTGTGTATGTCTTGGTACCACTTGTGTGGTACCAAGTGGCGCAGTGGTCTAAGGCACTGCATCGCAGTGCTAGCTGTGCCACTAGAGATCCTGGTTTGAATCTAGGCTCTGTCGTAGCCGGCCGCAACCGGGAGACCCATGGGGCGGTGCACAATTGGTCCAGGGTAGGGGAGGGAATGGCCGGCAGGGATGTAGCTCAGTTGGTAGAGCATGGTGTTTGCAGTGCCAGGGTTGTGGGTTCGATTCCCACGGGGAATGAAAAAATAAAATAATGTATGCACTTACTAACTGTAAGTTGCTCTGGATAAGAGCGTCTGCCAAATGACTAAAATGTGTTTTGGTGGAAAGGAAGGGATGAGTTGTAAATGCTTTATCAGATGATTGCTAGTGTTGTTGATTGGACATGGGCACATTTGCTGTATCAGTTTACACTGAGGATATGGTATATTCAAATATTGTATGATATGTGTAATATGACAATAGTCTAACAAACATAATTAGGGAGTTAGAGAATTGCCCAGATTTAGCTAATAATAACTGGAAAACATTCCACTTATTTTGGTAGCTACATGTTTTTTACCCACTGTGTTGGTCAGCATGTGCAGTGCAGTTGTTGATAATTTCTTAGTGATTTCAGGTGACTGGATCTCTAACTCTGTATTAGGGATTGCCATTACTGAGAGGATGGCTGAGGGCTACTTGGCACAGGGACTGTTTATCTGTGACCGGACCACTGCTTTTACGCAAGTCACAGCTTTGTGATTTGCAACAGGGAGTCAGTCAGCCAGTGGCGATGGATCAGTCAGAGGGGCTAGAGAACAGAAGTTGCATAAACAGCCCTGACCCCCTGGTACGAGAGGCCTATCTGATGTTACATGACTATATCAACTATGTGACCGCAGGGCCCGAAGGCCACATAGGCCCACCACCCCTACAGCCACATCAGCAGCCCTGCGCCATGCTGGGGACGAGCTGCTCATTAGGTTCCCCATCTTCTTCAGGCGCTGGCCACGCGTCTTCCAGGACGTGACTGAGGCCTCAGCCTGCCCCATGCTCACCACCATCCTAGACAAGCACTTTACCCCCACCACCCCCAGGGGGCGCCAGCGAGACCTGGCCTGGAGCGCTGTGCAGTCTGTGTATGTGCTGGCTGGCCAGATGGCCCTGCACTGCCACGAGAGGGGCATGGACGGAATCCTTCCTCAGCTTAAGGAGTGTGTGGGGGGTTATGTGGAGAGGGTCATCTATCCAGAGATTAGGGACAAGGGTGGATGGGTAAGTTCACTGGTCAAGGTTATTCACTGGCATAGTAAGACTAGGCTACAGTTTAAAATGTGGTTATGTTGTACTGGTGTGGCTGTTGTTGTGAATTTTACATTCTAACTCCTGGGATCTAATAATGTTTTCTGTTGTTGGCAGACAGGCTTTGTGTCCCGCTTTGGGCAGAAGCAGGACTTGGAGGCCCAGGTGAAGAAGGTGTGTTGCTGGACTCTACTGCTATTGGTCACCAGTATCCTGTCCTATTTCCTGTGGAAACGAAGAATAGCTTAAACAACACCCCCACCTGGTGACCACAATCAGATAGCTCCAAAAGTCTGCTTTGTGAATAAATATTTTCCCAAAGCTTCTCTTTTCCAAACGCATCTCAATGACCCACTATCCCCCATTTTAAACCATTGAGTTTTGCAACAATAACATCAACAATGCACAGCATACATACATTCACATCATGTGTATCATGTATGTGTAACTTAAAACCTCTGAATCATGATGGTAAAAAACATTACCTCAGTAATAGCAATTTTCACAAGAATGTGGTACATTTTCACAACTCTTAGTACAAAACTCAAAACAGATCATCAAAAAGGTAGTTGTTTCAAAAACTCTAAGCTCATTTACAATTGACTATGTACAACACACAAAATCATACAGTCACTGTTTCATCTAGAATATACGTTTCACATTGCAATACATGTTCATATAAAGTAATTGCCTTTCACAATGCAATGCTCACATTCCTTTTGATATGATTCTCTTCTCTTTATATAAAATACATTTTACTATTACTTAATCTGACCGTGTGGGGGTTCACACTGCTTTAAATGCATTGGCCAATACAGTAATACTGTAATATATGTCATTTATGTAACAGTCCACACATTTGGGTATGTGAACCCAGTGGGAATTGAACCCACAACTCTGGTGTTGCTAGTGCCATGCTCTTATGAACTGAGCCACGTACAGGACCACTACAATGCATAAGTACAATACAATACTGTAAAATACAATACACGATTACAATACAGGTGGAAGATGTATGATTGCCATCCCCATGAGCATACCACCTTCCTTCAGGCCATTGATGAGGTTTGCAATGATTTCAATCCAGATCTGCCAGGCTTGGATTCGCCATGCCAAAGGTTTTTTCCCCAGGTGCATGAACAATAAGGACATTTACTGCAATGTTGATGTTAAGCTATGGCCATATGCTCAAGACAGGCTTGACGCAAACTAGTGCCTGCTAAACATTCTGTCTTTCATTTCTTTCATATGTTTCAGTTGATTACAGTGCACCTATGTTGTCATGACATCTGAACAATAGATACATTTTTTGCATCACTGATTGTGAAAGATTAATTCAATGATCACACCTTTGATCACACACGGGATAGAAATGATGGAAATGTGATGTTCAGTACATTTTTATGGGTATTGCAAGTGTATTGTACTGTAATTTATAGTACTGTAGCATACTACATTGAAATAACATTTTTAAACATGTATCTTACATTTTATGATATTTTAACTGGTTTGAGAAAATTGAGAAGATATTATGTTGTCATTTATGATATTTTAACTGGTTTGAGAAAATTGAGAAGATATTATGTTGTGTTTTGGTTATTACACCAATGTACTCATTATACACTGAACAAAAATAAAAACGCAACATGTAAAGTGTTGGTCCCATGTTTCATGAGCTGAAATAAAAAATCCCAGAAATGTTCCATACGCACAACAAGCTAATTTCTTACATCCCTATTAGTGAGCATTTCCCCTTTGCCATTATAATCCATCCACCTGACAGGTGTGGCATATCAAGAAGCTGATTAAACAGCATGATCATTACACAAGTGCACCTTGTGCTGGGGACAATAAAAGGCCACTTTAAAATGTGGAGTTTTGTCACACAACACAATGCCACAGATGTCTCAAGTTCTGAGGGAGCGTGCAATTGGCATGCTGACTACAGGAATGTCCACCAGAGCTGTTGCCAGAGAATTGAATGTTCATTTCTCTACCATAAAATGTTGGGGGGGGGGGGGGGGGGGGGGTTGCTGAGGAGTATTTAGGTCTGTAATAAAGCACTTTTTGTGGGGGAAAACTCATTCTGATTGGCTGGGTCTGGCTCCCGGTGGGTGGGCCTATGCCCTCCCAGGCCCACCCATAGCTGCACCCCTGCCCAGTCATGTGAAATCCATAGATTAGGGCCTAATGAATTTATTTCAATTGACTGATTTCCTTATATGAACTGTAACTCAGTAAAATCTTTTAAATTGTTGCATGTTGCATTTATATTTTTGTTCAATATACACTGCTCAAAAAAATTAAGGGAACACTTAAACAACAACACAATGTAACTCCAAGTCAATCACACTTCTGTGAAATCAAACTGTCCACTTAGGAAGCAACACTGATTGACAATAAATCTCACATGCTGTTGTGCAAATGGAACAGACAACAGGTGGAAATTATAGGCAATTAGCAAGACACCCCCAATAAAGAAGTGGTTCTGCAGGTGGTGACCACAGACCACTTCTCAGTTCCTATGCTTCCTGGCTGATGTTTTGGTCACTTTTGAATGCTGGCGGTGCTTTCACTCTAGTGGTAGCATGAGACGGAGTCTACAACCCACACAAGTGGCTCAGGTAGTGCAGCTCATCCAAGGTGGCACATCAATGCGAGCTGTGGCAAGAAGGTTTGCTGTGTCTGTCAGCGTAGTGTCCAGAGCATGGAGGTGCTACCAGGAGACAGGCCAGTACATCAGGAGACGTGGAGGAGGCCGTAGGAGGGCAACAACCCAGCAGCAGGACCGCTACCTCCGCCTTTGTGCAAGGAGGAGCAGGAGGAGCACTGCCAGAGCCCTGCAAAATGACCTCCAGCAGGCCACAAATGTGCATGTGTCTGCTCAAACGGTCAGAAACAGACTCCATGAGGGTGGTATGAGGGCCCGACGTCCACAGGTGGGGGTTGTGCTTACAGCCCAACACCGTGCAGGACGTTTGGCATTTGCTAGAGAACACCAAGATTGGCAAATTAGCCACTGGCGCCCTGTGCTCTTCACAGATTAAAGCAGGTTCACACTGAGCACATGTGACAGACGTGACAGAGTCTGGAGACGCCGTGGAGAACGTTCTGCCTGCAACATCCTCCAGCATGACCGGTTTGGCGGTGGGTCAGTCATGGTGTGGGGTGGCATTTCTTTGGGGGGCCGCACAGCCCTCCATGTGCTCGCCAGAGGTAGCCTGACTGCCATTAGGTACCGAGATGAGATCCTCAGACCCCTTGTGAGACCATATGCTGGTGCGGTTGGCCCTGGGTTCCTCCTAATGCAAGACAATGCTAGACCTCATGGGGCTGGAGTGTGTCAGCAGCTCCTGCAAGAGGAAGGCATTGATGCTATGGACAGGCCCGCCCGTTCCCCAGACCTGAATCCAATTGAGCACATCTGGGACATCATGTCTCGCTCCATCCACCAACGCCACGTTGCACCACAGACTGTCCAGGAGTTGGCGGATGCTTTAGTCCAGGTCTGGGAGGAGATCCCTCAGGAGACCATCCACCATCTCATCAGGAGCATGCCCAGGCGTTGTAGGGAGGTCATACAGGCACGTGGAGGCCACACACACTACTGAGCCTCATTTTGACTTGTTTTAAGGACATTACATCAAAGTTGGATCAGCCTGTAGTGTGGTTTTCCACTTTAATTTTGAGGTTGACTCCAAATCCAGACCTCCATGGGTTGATCAATTTGATTTCCATTGATCATTTTTGTGTGATTTTGTTGTCAGCACATTCAACTATGTAAAGAAAAAAGTATTTAATATGATTATTTCATTCATTCAGATCTAGGATGTGTTGTTTAAGTGTTCCCTTTATTTTTTTGAGCAGTGTATTTCACAGTAAACTCATGTTTTGGATCAATGGTTGTGTGGTGAAAGATGTCTACATACAAAATGAATGCACAATGAAAGGTTTTGAAAGTAAGACTGGCTGCGTACTTGTGAAAGTAGTACCAAAGCGATAAAAAAAAAAAGTAATGTGCCAGATGGTGGAAGAACACTTTAATAGTTATCACATGAGGTGTTCCTGGGCAGGATGAACAAGTCACAGACAGGGATAATATTCCCTGACAGGCAGTTACTGAACTTTGCTGTGTAAACATTGACATATAACAGTTTCAGGGATCAACAAACATACAATAGGCTCACAGTATTAACCACCCAGCGAGCTTACAACATACTCATAATTCTATTCAGGAGAGATAAGCTTTTCACTCTGCATATCAGGTGTCCGCATTAGGATATACAAAACTGAAAATGCCAAATCCAGCGGATATTTTTCTTCTTCTTTGGATTGTCAAATTCAACCCATGACTGTACAGACATTCTAATATTAGTTATATACACCTTTGTCAGCCAAATGAACAATACACTTCATTATGATACATGTATGCTTATGCTTGTGTGTGCCAACATCTAAATAGGCATATAAGGAACTAAATAGGGACTATGAAATATCACTGTTTGCCAATTTGGTGTTAAGATTACATAGGATAGAAGTCTTTGGATAACTAGCAGGGTTATTAGTTTTACAGTGCATGTTGTCAGACTAAATCATAGCTTGAATGACTAAAATTCCTAACATTTAAAACAGACATGCCATGAGCTTAGCAAACTAAGATTTCAGAGGCATGGCTAAACAAATCTTTGAGCTATGCCTCAGAGAACAAGCACAAGACTGTGCTCAGGAACACTGTAGCCACTCATCTTACTGTGTACAGAAAACCTACAGGAATGTCAACTATGAGGTTTCATAAATGCACCAGCAGACCAGCTGCTCTACAATTATATATAAAACAATGTTATGTTTAAGCAATAAGGCCCGAGGGGGTGTTATATGGCCAATATACCATGGCTAAGGGCTGTTCTTAAACACGACACAACGCAGAGTGCCTGGATACAGCCCTTAGCCGTGGTGTATTGGCCATATACCACAAACCCGAGGTGCCTTATTAAACAATAAGACCCAAGGGGGTGTGGTATATGGCAAATATACCATGGCTAAGGGCTGTTCTTAAGCATGACACAATGCAGAGTGCACAAACCCCCGAGGAGCCTCATTGCTATTATAAACTGGTAACCAATGTATTTAGAGCTGTAAAAATAAATGTTGTCACACCCATGGTATATGGTCTGATATACCACGGATGTAAGCCAATCAGCATTCAGGGCTCAAACCACCCAGTTTATAATACAAAACGATATATATTGTTGCCATTTAACTGGAGGTTATCACCACTGAAAACGGTGTATTGCTTAGTTGAATAACTGGTGGATGTCAGAATAGTGTATTAATTGAGTATTTTATTTATTGAAAAATAGAAATCATTGAATCAAGGGAAACAGCACTTTAAACATAAGAAATTTTATTGACATGTTTCTGTACAGACAAGAATTGACAGTAATAGCAGAGGTGACAAAACAAAAAAAGGGACAGATAATGGAACACTGGAAAGGTTGAGACTGACATGTCAGTGAATACAGCTAGGAAGAGCACAGTTACACAAACATTTAGGCCAGCTCCTCTTCTCCCTCCTCCTCAAACTCTCCCTCCTCCTCAGCGGTGGCATCCTGGTACTGCTGGTACTCAGACACCAGGTCATTCATGTTGCTCTCTGCCTCAGTGAACTCCATCTCATCCATACCCTCTCCTGTGTACCAATGAAGGAAAGCCTTACGCCTGAACATGGCCGTGAACTGCTCGGAGATACGCTTGAACAGCTCCTGGATGGCTGTGCTGTTGCCAATGAAGGTGGCAGCCATCTTGAGGCCACGGGGGGGAATGTCGCAGACGGCGGTCTTGACATTGTTGGGGATCCATTCAACAAAGTAGCTGCTGTTCTTGTTCTGCACGTTCAGCATCTGCTCATCCACCTCCTTCATGGACATGCGTCCGCGGAAGATGGCAGCCACTGTAAGGTAGCGGCCGTGGCGGGGGTCGCAGGCGGCCATCATGTTCTTTGCATCGAACATCTGCTGGGTGAGCTCAGGAACAGTGAGGGAGCGGTACTGCTGGCTTCCCCTGCTTGTGAGGGGGGCAAAGCCGGGCATGAAGAAGTGGAGACGGGGGAATGGCACCATGTTGACGGCCAGCTTGCGGAGGTCAGCATTCAGCTGTCCTGGGAATCGCAGGCAGGTTGTAACGCCGCTCATTGTGGCTGACACCAGGTGGTTGAGGTCGCCGTAGGAGGGAGTAGTGAGTTTCAGGGTACGGAAGCAGATGTCGTAGAGAGCCTCGTTGTCAATACAGAAGGTCTCGTCAGTGTTCTCCACTAGCTGGTGGACTGAGAGGGTGGCATTGTAGGGCTCCACCACAGTGTCTGATACTTTGGGTGAGGGCACCACGCTGAAGGTGTTCATGATGCGGTCGGGGTACTCTTCACGGATCTTGCTGATGAGCAGGGTGCCCATGCCAGAGCCAGTTCCACCTCCTAGGGAGTGGGTGAGCTGGAAGCCCTGCAGACAGTCACAGCTCTCTGCCTCCTTCCTCACAACATCCAGGACTGAGTCCACCAGCTCGGCTCCCTCTGTGTAGTGGCCCTTGGCCCAGTTGTTTCCAGCACCACTCTGGCCTGCAAAATAAGAGATGTGTAAATCATCTCTCCTTTCTTTGGCGACATTATCTACAGTATCTTGTATTATATTTAAAAAACAGTCAAATATGAAGCAGAAGGACCTACCGAACACAAAGTTGTCTGGTCTGAAGATCTGGCCGAAGGGTCCGGATCTCACAGAGTCCATGGTCCCTGGCTCCAAGTCGACAAGCACAGCACGGGGCACGTATTTACCTCCTAGACAACCACGAGGCAAAGAAAGGTCAATGTCAGAACCACACATGTAATCAATTGAGAAGTATAATAGAATGTAGTAATCAATTAGACAAACAAGGCTTACCTGAGGCTTCATTGTAGTACACGTTGATCCTGTCGAGCTGGAGGTCACTGTCCCCATGGTATGTACCAGTTGGGTCAATGCCATGCTCATCACTGATCACCTCCCAGAACTGCAAGAAGAGCATTAGGTTTAAGTGTACAGAGCACAATATTAGGTAAGCTAATATGCCATTCAAAGTGGGATCCATTCATCAAATGCATGTCAACAATAAATACCATTACACTGATAGGCCTATGCCATTATTACATTGGTTCAATATTCTCATTTGATCACGTCAATGGATCAGATCTACTTTATTGCATGGAACGTTAGGTAGGCCTACATACATTTAAAAGTTAGACATCTGGAATGAAAATCTCCCTCCTGTACAATTCCGCGCGCGCGGCATGACCTCCGATTGGCTGAAACCCATCAGTTATGGTTTTGAAACGTTCAAATACGTCACTTGCTGAAACACCGCCCATATCCGCAAGAAAAACGGGCGCGGCACGCGCTCAATGAATCGAAAAAAGTGTAGGCCATAATGTTGCGTTGAACAAATGTCAAATTCTTTCCTTTTTGGGGGAAATAATTATGTATATTAAGACAATAACCGAATTGTAAGTGATTAGTTCTTATATGGCCATGTTATTTGGCAACTAAAATACTTCCCATTTTGCGCATTGCAGTAGTATGGTAATCCACAGGCCTACGTATATACATATTTAATCGATCATTGATATCTTTAATTAAAAAAAAATCAATTTCTTAATACCCATTCTCATGTATATTGACTTACTCGCTAGTAACGTTACAGTGTCAAGATCATTTCGAGACCAAATAAAACCAGTCGAATAAAATTATACAGAAGTGCATAAAACACCAAAGCTCTTTTCTTTTCTCCCCACCAAACAACAAAACAATCAATAGGTTAGGAATATAATTTGCAATCATTTTCATTAACAATACAGTTCTTTGGGTGTGGTTAACCAGACACCCATACAAAGAACCGGCGATTTTACGCGCACGATTTGCACCAAATTAATTTGTAAAATAATCGTACAAACCTTAGCTCCGATCTGGTTTCCACACTGTCCAGCCTGAAGATGCACAATTTCCCTCATTTTTACTTTGACGGTAGAACAACACTTATGCGAATAAAAACCAGTTCTTTCCTTTCTTAGAGTGCGCGGAAAGAATGGGTTCCCTCACTATATAAGAGGAACTGTGTGCCCGCCCCTTATAACTATGTCACCAAATCTGAAACATTTATTGGCTAATGTTTACCAGACCTTGTTATTGACACACTTCTACACCAATCATATTCACATAGAATGATTTTCGTTGGCCTCTTCTTTCTGTCATTCAAACTGAACGCAAACGTGTGATTCTCACATAATCCTAAAGATTTGTCCCACTTCCTTTATGCCGGCGAAAATCATATCTCCTTTTAAACTATAATTGCGAACTATATTTCTGTCCAATTATCAGCACATATTACATGATTAAGAGAGGCATCCGTTGACTCTAAAAAAATATGTGAAACGTTTTCTTATACGATGGTAAAACTACGAAATCGGCAATTTATTCCAAGTCCACGTGGCTCATTGTTACTTTGTAACCATTCCTGGCAGAATTCTTTCGGCTTCCTGATGGTGAAATGCAGCTATTTCGTCTTAAAATGTAAATTTTGCTATAGAAAATGTATCCAACGTAATATTATATGTTTTCTGTCAAGAAAGGGATCTAATATGTCATCGAACAGATGTCAGTTATTTTGTTATCTAATATAATCATCTACACATAACATAGGCTATGGAAACATTTGTTAAGATTATAGTTACCCAGAGTTCTGTATATCCCAAATTCTCAGTATTATTGTTGTTACTTAGTTCTGATTATGGATGACTCCCTTTTTGCGCATTGTTAAACATGGCTGCCTGGGCTGTGTCAGGTGCGACACACAGACTGCTTGGCTGCTGCTCCTTTCCCCTTACAGACCACAATGAGAACTTCATCACAGGATTATCATACATAAAGCTCGAAGAAATCCTGCAATTACATAGCATATTATTGTGAATTAATCCATGTCTGATTATATATTGTGTCTCTACAAATGCCAATGGCTGACTCTGACCTGTGGCCCAAGGTAAACTGCTCCTTGCTATGTATTACTGTTCACAAGAGAGTCCAGTCATAAAGTGACAGACAGTCCAGTAAAATGTTTAATCTGCCATGTTAAAATGTATTAATCATTGTATTGGCAAAGTCTCAATTATATAATATGAAACAACAGGTACATGGTGCAATGAAACAGCTCAAATCCAGTTTAGCATAAGACAGGGAGGTTGGGCTATCGCACTCAACATCCCAGGGAGACAGCCACAGTCTGGAAGGATGAACAGAACAGGGAGGGGTGCAGCAACAGGAGAGCGATAGTGGGCTTGGGATGGGAGCAGTGCATGACTGTTTTAAAAACAGAGTCAGTGCTGGAATTAGGGCAGGGGGGCTTATTAATAGTTAAACTGTGTGCAAGGGGGAGAATTTGTCAGTGACGCCAGCACTCGTCAACTGCATGGGCACATTAGCTGTGCATTGGAGGACAGAGGAGAGACACCCTGTTTCTATGTTAGTTATGACCGATATCAATTGAGCAGACCTTTTATGGAGGACCTAGTTTGATGATAAAGGCCCACTTACAGCTCTTACCAATGTATGCATAACATGCATTTTCATATAGATTAAGCCTACAGAGAAGTCAGAGAGTAGGAATAAGAGCTATCTGAGCTGAATGAATAGCCATAAGAAACAAAGGGCCTAGTTTAAATCTCATTACAGCACAGTGAGTGCATACAGTCCATATTCTCACAGTGTACAGAGACATCGCTGCTGTGTTCACTCTATAACTGGGTCATCATACAGTGTGCTCTGTTTGATACAGCACACAATGACATTCCCTGTGATGCCCCCAGTGTGTACACTTGAGTGTATATTGTGACGTCACGAGAGGCTACACAGCTTTCAGCGGGATTGCTCAAGTAGTGCAAGGAGACAAGGTTCAAACAAAACAAGGATTTTATTATAGGTCTTGGGAAATTAACGAAAATATAACAAAATTCTGTTCTCTTGTGGCTCTTTAAGGGTTAACAGTTCAGGGATGTCTCTTCCACATCCAAAATCATAATTCTCACTCGCTCAGATAACTTTTCCCCAGCCTTACTGTAGTCCACGTTGCAGCTAGTGGCCAACCCAGCAAAAAGTCCTTCCAAATGTCTCTCACGTATTTCCACAGGTGCATATATCCAAAGGTGAGTATTTCCCAAAGGTAAGTATCTCCAAATCCTTATATTCCTCATGGAAGTGGACGTGCAGCACTCTTGTCCTCCAGAGAGCCCAGGTTGGAGACTGTGTTTCTTCACAACCCACACACTCCCTCAGTGTGTCTCTTCCCTTCCCAAACCTTCAGCTCATCAGCTCCTGATTTGTTTCAGCTGCGTGGGAAGATTGGCCATAGAGGGGTGGAGTTCCCGACCATACCAGCAGATGGAGCCATAGCTGTCTGGGTTTGCAGCCACCTCAGGGGGATGTAACGTCCCTCCAGGACACAGCCTCTCGTGACATCACACATCCCCCTCCTCGGGACCGACGTCCTCGTCGGGGTAAAGGCAGCGAAGAAGGCATCACGCCGGGAGAGGGCGTCCGCATTGCCGTGGTGCTTGCCAGCCTGCTCTCTCTTCAACTCCTCCACCTCTAGGACCAGGGACTCAGCCTCCTGTTGTCTCTCCTTGAGTTTCTTACTGAACGCATCAGCCTTGGTTTTAGCAGAGTTTAGCTTCTGTTGAGCAGCTTTCAGTTCCTTCTCTCTCTCTGCCTCCGCATTCTTCATCTTGTTCTCCAACACCTTGTACTTCTCCTCTGCCTTCTTCTGGACCTCCTTACTACTGCGCAGGGTCTCCTCACACTCCTCGATGGTCCTGCGCAGCCTCTCCAGCTCCTCCTGTTGCTTATGGAAGGAGCTCTGTTGGAGTTTAGCCTGGAGGATATCTAACTCTTCTGTCTTCATGTCTAACTGTTGCTTTAACAAACGATACCTCTCAGCGGTCCCCTTCAGACCAGACAGTTCTTTGTCCAGATTCTGTAGCTCCGTCTCTGTGTCGGTCTGGGCACCTGCCCTCCCTATCAGAGCCCGGGCGGGAGTGAGTAATTCGGAGGATTGCACCGGAGCCTTCCCAGGATGAGTCTTGCCTCTCCGTTTCCGAGGTACTCGGGTTATCCTCTCCTGAGACTCTCTCCAGAGTGGGTAAAAGGCTGGGCAGTCTCGTCCAATTAGGACAGGGACGGGGAGGGAATCAACCACCCCTGCCGTCGTGTGTATGGTTCCCCGTGTGCTGGTCATTGTAAGTTCAGTAATGGGGTATTCTCTGGTGTCCCCATGGACACAGGAAACTGGGAGGACTTTCCCCGGGGTCAGACACGTTGGGCCCACCAAATCCTTACGCACCAGGGTGGCCCGGCTACCAGAATCCAGTAAGGCCTCCACATCATGGTGATTCACAGTTACCGGGCAGGTGGGGGGTCGATCTGGGCCGCCATCTACGACTCCCAAGAGCGAGGCAAAACGGTGTGTGGGTGCTGAGCTGGAGGACTCCGCAGTGGGCATAGGTTCATCGGCTGGTTTCCCACACTGCCAGGAGATATGTCCCATCTCCCCACACCGGTAACACTGTCGAGTTTCCCCCTCCTGGTGTACTCTTCTTGGACCCACCTGGTTTCTGGCTCCCCCTGGAGCCGGGATAAGTCCTGACGTGGCTGGGTTCGAGACCTTGGGGTCCTTTGGACGGGTTCTTCCCATTTGTGGTGGGGCCGCACTCCTGGGGTCTTTTCGGGAAGCATTCAGCATCTCCGCTGTGGCCTGGTACTTTTCCACAGCTTCCACGGTCAGATCAGCCGTGGTCAAGGCCTGTTGACTGATGAACCGTTTTGCCTCATAAGGCAGGGCGCGTAGGTAACGATCCACCACAACGGCCTCCACCACCGCCGCTGCTGTATTCCTCTGCGGATCCAGCCATTTCCTTGCGATTCGGACAAGTTCATGCATCTGCGCCCGAGGAGGTTGGTCTGGTTGGAAGGTCCAGCTGTGAAAGCGCTGGGCCATACCAAACTTTGTGAGTCCATATCTGCTGAGGATCTCAGACTTCAGGGCATCATAGTCAGCAACCTGGTCAGGGCCCAGGTCCCGGACAGCATTCAGCGATTCCCCGGTTAGGAAGGGGGCTAACAGACCAACCCACTGTTGCTTGGGCCAGGCTTCCCTAGTGGCCGTGGCCTCAAATGCATGCAGGTATGCCTCAATGTCATCGGTAGCTCCCATCTTAGATATAAAGTCACTTGCCTTTATTGGGCGGGTATTTTGGACAACCCTCTGTCTCTGCAACTGCAATTCCTCTGCCTTCAGAAGGTTGGCTTTCTTTTGCTCCTCCAAGAGAGCCACGTTTGCTTGCATCTGGGCTTGCTGGCCAGCAACAAGGGCTTTCAATATGTCCTCCATTTCCGTCGGCGGGGAGCCTACGGCCAACTTGGAAAACTGGGTGATCAAACCTTCGGTATCCTCCTCTGACATGCACTATTAACGCTTGAGCTGCCCGTATTCTCCACCATCTGTGACGTCACGAGAGGCTACACAGCTTTCAGCGGGATTGCTCAAGTAGTGCAAGGAGACAAGGTTCAAACAAAACAAGGATTTTATTATAGGTCTTGGGAAAATTAACGAAAATATAACAAAATTCTGTTCTCTTGTGGCTCTTTAAGGGTTAACAGTTCAGGGATGTCTCTTCCACATCCAAAATCATAATTCTCACTCGCTCAGATAACTTTTCCCCAGCCTTACTATAGTCCACGTTGCAGCTAGTGGCCAACCCAGCAAAAAGTCCTTCCAAATGTCTCTCACGTATTTCCACAGGTGCATATATCCAAAGGTGAGTATTTCCCAAAGGTAAGTATCTCCAAATCCTTATATTCCTCATGGAAGTGGACGTGCAGCACTCTTGTCCTCCAGAGAGCCCAGGTTGGAGACTGTGTTTCTTCACAACCCACACACTCCCTCAGTGTGTCTCTTCCCTTCCCAAACCTTCAGCTCATCAGCTCCTGATTTGTTTCAGCTGCGTGGGAAGATTGGCCATAGAGGGGTGGAGTTCCCGACCATACCAGCAGATGGAGCCATAGCTGTC